ACACTCCTTATATCCTTCAAGTTGAGCACAAAACAAAAGTATGATGTCGTAATCTCTGAAAGTACACTTTCAGTTATATATGTCATATGCATAATTAATGTGTCAGGGAGAAAGAAATACTTAACATAAACTGTTTTAATACCACAACTTTACTTTGGAATAGTAAAAACATGTGAAAATTGGTACACATGCTCTTTGTGAACATCCTCATAGCTTGGATTAAACACTTTGCAAATTTTCTGCAACGTTAACGAGCTATGGGCAATTAATTAATGCTTTCGTTACTGGAAATTAGACTCATAACAATATGATTGGTAAAGATCTTTGAATTAAAAAAATTCGATCTATGAGAAAGTATAATATCAACAAGTGTGGTAAATTTCATGCTGATATTGGATTTAATGGTGAAGTGGAAAGGAAATGAAAACAAACTAGACTTATTTTTAATCACTTACTACAGGTTAATTAATAAAGATTTTAAAATAAAAATGAGTTATTTACGTAGAAAAAAGGTTAAACTTTCGATTTAGGCTAAATTTGAATATGTGATTTTTGAAATATTGGGGTGCTCTTTAAACAGCAGCAATATCTTTAGATAGCTCGTTATTTTATTACTCTATATTTTGGTTATTATGGGAAACAAGCGAAAATGCTGACAATTTTATTTACAATCTTTGACAATTTTGTTCTGGTGTGAGTTTTGTTCAAACTCAGCTATTTGCAATAGTAACGATATACGGGTTATTCTGTAAAATATTTTTATTTTTCAATATATGGGAAAAGTTTAATGCGAATTTGCTTTGCTTTTGGACTACTAAGCAAGTATACCAAGTTTTGTCTCGATCGGTCAACTCGTTTAGGAGGAGATGTGTCCACAGACAGACAGACAGGAAGTTTTCTTTGATATTGGATAATTACCACATCGGTATGACTTAATATGTGTAGCGCATATATGAAGAACACCTGTACCACAATTGTTATACTTAGCTCTACAGAGCTGGATAATTGTGCTCTGCATTTTAGGGTCGTAGCTGCGTTATAATAGTGACAGCCAAATATTACTATTCGATCTGACGAGAGTAACCCAAAAGTTGGCGGTGGGTGATGTTAACTAGTTGCCTTCCCTATAGTCTATCAGCTAACGAAACAAACGAATCGAAATCTTAATATAACATTTACCCTTCTATAACTTGATATGTAAACTATCAAAATTCTTTAGTTGTCACTCACAGCCTTAAACCGGTATTTTAGGAACGTCAAAACTTTCGAATTGTCGCCAACTTTAGGTTATGTGTGTTGTTGGGCCTTGTTGACCAAGAAAAGCTGCTTTTTCGAGATAGTTAGCCCAGTATCTTACACGGGAGTGTATTCTATAGCTAACTGGTACAGCTCTGAAGGTGGACGCGTAGAAATATTTCTGTTGGGTGTATAGTTAGAGTCTTTGTTGGTGGACAGTTCAGTTTTACTCTTGTTAAAGTACAGTTTAGTTTTCATGTCAGTAAAGTGGAGTCTTAGTTCAATCTCAGCTCATTGTAAAATAAAATCCTCTCTTGCATTTAATCATTTCGACCGATGCATGTTTATTTTAACGGAGATTTATTATCAACTACTGTCCAGCTACGACAGGAATATCGGCCTTTGATAGTTTCGCCAGTACTTTAGCCGCTTCTCTAATCCTGTACCCTTGTTAGTACAGAACGGAACCAACTTCTCAGCTCGTATATCTTTAACCACAGCAGGATGTTGTTCTTTATTATATATTCGTGCTACACTGATCTTCGGAAGCTAAGCCAATTATCCACAAAACGCACGTTCCGGAATTGTTATGCAGATAATAATATTAAAACGGCAGCAAAGGAAAAACAAGTAACATAAATGAACAAATTAAACAGTATCTTTATTCACAGTAAAATGTAATTGTATTTTACATAAGTTTTCATTACGCCTCTGAATGAAAGTGGAGTAGAGAGAAGCTTTCCAGTCTACACAAGATAAAGACAAGATCAAGAATAAAATACGTTCGCACAAGACATGGATGATATCAAGAATAAAACACGCATGCAAATGACGATAAACGAGATCAAGAAAAAACGAAATACTACGTTGTTATAAAAACAAGTTAACTGCAGATGTTGTTTTTTCACATTCCTCTTAATTTGTCCATTGCGGCTCGAAATTAGAGGTGTATAAAACTAGAATTTCATATCTACCTTTATTCTCCCACAAGTTAGTGCCCAATAAGCTTTTCGTTCACTACCAGAACTCATCAGTTGGGCTGGACGATGAGAGACAAAAGATTTTATGAAATGTTATTTATGTATATATATATGCAGAATAATACTTTAAAATTTACAGCTTAAAGTCGGCTTTTAGCGTTTAAACCATATCTTTTGAAATACCACATTGTTAAGCCAGGCCAAGTCTTAGTGCAGTATCCCACAGACCTTAGATTAACTACAGCAGGGATAATTTCCATTATATACGTTCAAGATAAGTCCCCCCCCCCCAATAATAACTTCTACAATTATTTGTATCACCCCTTGAAATAAGTATGACCCCACTCCAGAAACAGGATCAAGCCTATTGAACAAGGGTTGCAGATTGTAACCTTTGCGTGTGACATTGTACTACAAGTTTACGGCCTTCTTAGGTTAAACTTACAATTATATCATAAACTACATACATAACTCCTTAACGAAAACTTATCTGAACATAGCTAACTAAAGATATGATGATACTTCCAATCAGTACATAACCTCTCTACAGCATAACTAAAACGGGCCTTGTTCATTTTTAATAACTCATGTGGACATGTGAAGGTATCGTTTAATTGCACCATACTCGTCCCTATAAATAAGATGTAGGTAGTTTACCTTGATGAAAGGTTATTGTTAGATACTTACTTTATTTATGCAGTAAGAATTGAATAGCCTTTTCACTGAATATAGTAGTTCCTTTAACATTCGCATAGAGTTTAACCTTATCACTATCCTGTGCACCACATGTGATTCTCAGGACATAATGTAACAGCGCCTGAGTATTTAATATCCAGCTCTCATTATAGAACGAGGCAATAGGAACTGGTTGCCTTGGCTCAACGTATGATCTTAAAAGAGAGCTTCATACGAACATTACATGTGAAGCTCATAGTGCTTGTCAGTGATGATAGATTAAATTACTTTCACTCAAGACAAAATTAAACCTAGGACAACTAAAAAAAAAATATTTATTAACACCATTAAATTACCTAAAACATGCAAAGGGTTAACAATAGAATTTCTTGTAGATAACTTAACTGATCTGAATGTTTTAATCAATGTACAAACTAAAACGATGAAATAATCAGAGCGATTTGTTTTCGACACAATTTTTCACTTCGAAGCCTGTAAAGAGCTTAGCAAAAGCAGGTCTTGATCACTTAGCATAAAAAAGAAACAGAATAATGATGTCAAAAAGCAATGATGATGCGTAAAAGTAGTATATCCGGGTTCGATTCCTCGTGGTGGACAGAGCAAAGATAGCCCATTGTGTAGCTTTGCGCTAAAACAAAAACACACACATATTAGTGTATTAATCGGTGTTAGAGATTGAATACAAAGAACTTAGATTTCTATTCAACAAACTTATGTTAAATTTATCAAACATAAATTCATGTTGTTAAAATTTACATTCAGTTCATCAAACACTTGACGAGTACAAGTATAAACCTTGGAGTCATAAACTAGAAAGAAATTATTTTGAATAACACTCATTTAGTATGATTTTCTTTTCTTGTGTATTCTGTGTGTGTTTATACATATCGAATACTACAGAAGTTTACCCAGCATTGTACATCTGTTACTGTACATCTATGATCAGACATTAGTTATATTGTTAAAACGATATCGTGCAAGCTACTGTACATCTGTGATCAGACATTAGTTATATTGTTAAAACGATATCGTGCCTTGGTAAATAATAAAACAAAACTATATTTGTTTTATATAATAATATATAATATTTTAGAAATTGGAATATTTGTTGATGGTTAAGTACATAATTACCTAAGTTGATTAAATCTAAAAGATATATTAATAACAAATTATAAGATGTCACCATTATAGTCTTCTATAAACACGTAACTGAATTGCACAAACACAAAATCTGTTCTTGATCACTGTTATTCATACTTTACAATTTTTCTTGTACAGAACTAAACAACAGTAATATCAGCAACCCGTGTCAGAAAGAGGACATATTAGGCAATATTGTGGCGAGCTCTTCTCCATTTTTGTACCCATTTATTGTGGAGTACAGCCTAATTGGAGCAGCAGTATTGTACGTCATGTGGAATAACGTCGGCAAGGACCCTGTCTTCCAGGGAGAGATTCAAGAAGAAGACCGACTCTCGAGGACTTCTAGCGTCCAGTCAACTAATCCGGTAAATTGTTCGGGGTCCAGCAAAGGCCTTTTCTGTGGTTTACTGGTACTGGTCATCTGTGTCATCTGTCTCATTGTTTTCTTTGTTCTTATCTACCACGATCAATATCGCCTTCTGGCTATCTACCTTAGTGACTTGTCTCACTGTAGCATCCTTCTTTTTGCCATCATCGGCAACATTATCGGTTTTTTTCGAGTGAAACCGCTTCGCTTCTCGCCTTGTCGTAAAGATCAGTTAAGAGACATCCTACTGCGTGTGGCAGCATTTGGCTTATACATCCACTCCATGTTCGGCATCATAGCGGGCTCCTTGTCTACAATGTCATACATTCCCAATATCCTACTCCTAATAACTAGCTGCCTTACCCTGCTCCAAGTTACCTTGCAGTCTTTGTTTATCGCAGACATGTCGTGTCGAGCAGCATATCTTCCAGAGCAGGACCAACAGAAGCCCGGCAGACAAGTTGTCACCTTTCTCATGATTTCTAATCTGACTTTGTGGATTATATACACTTTCCAAATGCAAAAAGTCGAGGCGAGTCCAGTGGAGCGAGAGTTCTATGGAGTTATGGGCTGGGCGGTCATCACCAGGGTTACGCTGCCTCTTAGCATCTTTTACAGATTCCATTCTGCGGTTACTTTTGCAGAAATTTGGAAGAACAGCTACAAAAACGTTTCTTCTTGAGTTGATCGAGTGATTCGAAATAAAATCGATCACAGTTATAAGTTATAATCTCTATTATCCATGTTTTTAGAGATTATGGAACATATTTACGTTGTATAGTGACTATATTTCGAACTATTAATAGAGACTATTTTCAATAGATAAAAGTTTGAAAGGCATAGTTAGATAAAAATACGATGTACAATATAGCACTCTCAACCTAAGATACAGCCTGCATTGACTTATAAACCCCACAAGCATGCGAAAATCAGTTTCAAATTATGCTAATTTCATGTGTTTCTTATTTTGTTATACCGTAATGTGACTGAAGGTATAGAAGCAACATATTTTATCAAATGGCGGCAAATCTGAGGTGGAAGATGCAGAGTATTATTGGTGTGTTTTCAATGTATTTATTAACAAAGAACAGTTATATGAATGAAGAAATACATTTCTAACCAACGTTTCGTTGAAATTATACACAAAATTATGCATTTTTATGTGTCTAATATTTTAAATATATATATATTTCAATTCTTTTAATATCACTAACAGATAAATGTATCAAAGTTGTCAAAGAATTATATTGTATGAAACATCTAGTTTTTATGTGTTATAATTGGAATTGTTTTTATATTTTATGTCGGCTGCCAGTTGACAAACATGCTTATCTGTACACTTAACATTGCGGATTAGTTCAACAGATGTGCAAGAAAATAAAGTAGGCTAACATCTATGAAAATGAAAGACTTTTAATTCAAATTGTAAGTTAAAATCGAACTTATTCTCCGATATGTTTAAAACAGTAAAAATGGAACTGGACTAAAGTTGTTTTTTATTATTTAAATACAATAAAGTGTCGCTAGTTTTAAATTTACTACATTGATCTTAACTTCGAATCGAAATCCATTAAACAGTTTCTGTTTGAATAAAGAAACCAGTTAATTGCAGATAACTTTTGCACCCATACTGCTAGTAAATGTTTTTAATTATTTTACAATTTACCTACACACATATATATATAGAACACAGTTTTACTAGAATTAGTCAAAAACCAAAGACTCCAATGATGTTTTATAACAAGTGAACCGACAATTTTCATCTATATATCAAGTACAATGTGATCAGATGAAAATAAAGTAAAAACAACATCTAAGATTTGTCTTAATGTAGAATGAAAAACATTAAATACCTTTCTAGAACACAAGTAGATAAAGCAAATTTTAAAGATTCAATGTATAAACTCATATTGTTCAAGTTGTTACCTATTGGCTATTGCAGCTATAAATTATTTAACGAAATCATAGATCAAAATATTAAAATGTTTTAATGATTCAAAATAAGGTGATAAAATTTCAGTATTATTCATTACTTTTTTCTACACTTATAAGTAAATTTACTTTTACCCTATCGTCTGTTTAATCTCTTGAATATAATTAACTGAATTAATTATTTGTAACTAAAAAAAAAAGCAGACTGAAATCGTGTATTGTTGATTGTCAACAAATATTCGATTGTGTTGCAAAAACCTATTTCTAGAAGTATTCATATAAAATTATTCTGTGTAAATTTTCGGCTACTTTAGAGGATATCAATTAGACTTCCATTTTGATTAACATCTTTAATTAGCAAGAAAGAATAATTGATAATGATGTTGAAAACTTCATTATTTGTTACGTCTGTAAAATTTTTATTTCTTATGACTTGAAGAATGTTAATTCTGGTAACCTTGTAAATTTCACGATAATTTCATCAGCACTATTACCAAGAGCTCATAAGTAAGAACACAAAGCGATATGATATTTCATCAATAATAATTAAGCTTATCCCAAAGAACTTTAATTGAAGAAGTCTATAGCTAATTGATATGAATTTGACATACAAAGTGTTATTGAAGTGAATCTCATGAAATATATTCATCATTCAAAGTTTTTTCGCTTTCATTTTCTATCATTTTGTCAGCAACTATAGAAATATTATCACAATCAATTAGTTAACTTCTCAAGATCTCTAGGAGTTTGACTTCTTTCAAGAAACTTTTAATTCCTTCAGTTTTATTCCATAGTTTAAAATACCAAACTTTCATCTAATTATTAATATTTTTTGTAAATGTGTTAAATAACAAGGGTTATTTCTTCTCAACCAATAATTTATTTTTAAAAACCTACTGGAATTAATTTAATATTGTGTAGCTCCTTTTGAAGATGAAGATCAATATGTAGTCAGAATATCCTTATCGTATTTTGTCGACTTTTATAAGAAGGGTACTTACTGTGTCAATGATAAGCTTTGTACAAAGATATGTACATGTGAAATTGTTGTGCAGGTGCACCAACATTTTCCGCATTTCCTTCCTTTGTTGTTTTTTCTCCTTTGAGTATGCTCGCACAGTATCAAGGTTTGAGACTGTAACTGTAGCTCATGCCAGCTGTGAAAATCGCTTATTGTATTGTACAACCTCTGAACCATTATCTGTTGTCTTGAAACCGGTTTCTTTGTTTGTCACGAATAGTTGCTCTTGGTTTCATTCACATATATCGTTTCTGAACGTACCGTTACTACTCTTGAAAAATGGTGCTATAAAGAATGTATGTGACTTGGATGCGCTTGTAAAATAAGTAGTAAACATATTAGTCATTGTTAAACTAGTGCTAAGATCTAGTCATTATTAAGTCAAATAAAAAAGATTACAATAAAAAAGTTTCTAAAGATATTTACTTTAACTAAGGCAAGATAAATTTTAGTTATTTGGTTAATTATCACAGCTTCTTTAACCATTCATAGAAAACGAATATACAGTGGATTTAAACATCTATCAAGGCGTTGTTACAGCTATGGTATTCCAAGGATAAATCAAACACACACACGGTTGTCTGATCTTCACAAAAACCATTTCGCGGTTCTAATATGTAGATTGTTTGTTTGGTTTGCATTTTGCGCAAAGCTACACGAGGGCTATCTGCGCTAGCCGTCCCTAATTTAGCAGTGTAAGACTAGAGGGAAGGCAGCTAGTCAGCACCACCTACCGCTACTTTTTTATCAACGAATAGTGGGATTGACCGTACATTATAACTCCCCCAAGGCTGAAAGGGCGAGCACGTGAGGAAAAGTGTTGAAAAATCACCCACGTCAAACGACCACTTCTTTTGCAGTACCTATGTAAGTGTGCTCCAGAACCATCAAAAGTTAGCTTGGGTTACAATGACAAGAATAGCTAAACGGAAGACACTCCTCTCTTCAAGCAGTAGTGTAAGTGTGCTCCAGAACCAACAGAAGTTAGCTTGGGTTACAATGACAAGAATAGCTAAACGGAAGACACTCCTCTCTTCAAGCAGTAGTGTAAGTGTGCTCCAGAACCAACAGAAGTTAGCTTGTGTTACAATGACGAGAACAGCTAGACGGAAGACACTCCTTTCTTTTCATATGTCGATAGAAGTGGGCACAACAGATGCTATAAGACCTTCCTTCTTTTTGATACACGTTGTTTTTTACGACGAGTCCAGATTAAATGGTTTGGTGTATACTAACTGCGACTGTATTCTTATTCAGAAGCAACAATGCCATATTATCGCAATTACTAAATATTAAACCAAATAAAGACCCAACGGAGAGTAACAACACCATTTACAGCATCCCCTGTGAATGTGAATTCCACTACTTTGGAAAAGCAAGTCGATCAACCAAATTTAAAACTTAGGAGCATAATAGACATACAAGACTCGGTACTACTGATCTAGATCATATTACCCATCATGCCAGTGAAGACCATAAGATTAATTGTAATAATACTAAAATAATATGATGTCGACCACTCGAAAAAAGAAAAAAATAATATTGTACATCCACTTAACCATTAGCATAATCACCCTAGCACAAAAGTCCGAAAAACCTCAATACCATTCTTAATTAAATACTTTCACATAATTGGTCTCATTTCTAACGATGAGACCCAGGTCGAGTATATAACACACAAGACTTCCATTTAGAAGATCCACAATCGAATCCCGTCCACTACTGACACATAAACACTCCTTCTCAGGACTTTCCTGAAGATGGCGCCCGAAAAGTAGAAAAACTAATAATTAGTGTGTAGCTGTAAAACTAAAATAGTAATTACTTTAAGTCAGTCTATTATACAGGCTAATGGTTCTCAACGTTTTTTAGTATAAGAAATATTTGTAAACATTGATGGTCATTCGCGAAACAGTGTATAGTTTTAGTGCAGACAAACATTTGATTTACTAAATAAGTAATGTACAGTCTATTTTCAAAGTCTGTTCATGACCATTTCTCCAAATTTTGGGCCACGACCCATGGGTTGAGAAACGCTATTATAGGCTACTAACCATGACAACGATTGTTTTTCATTCGATTTACGAAGGAAAGATTCCAGGTAGAAGAAAAATACTTTGTTGTGTTATCTGTAGAAAATAGGGAGCTGAACGTGGTCTAGAAGTTATCTTGCTGGGTTGCCAATCCGCAGATCTAAGGTTTTCATTAGATGTTGCTGTATGTAAAATCACATATTTAACAAGCTTACTGAAACATTTGTGAAAAAGACTTCAAGACATACTAATATGCTATTTAAGAAAACTTCTTAGTTTATAAGATACTGACATACACCTGCCCTATATACTTGTTCAAGTAGGCTATTAGTTACCATAAATGAAACATATGGGTAACTAATCAAAGTTTCTATCTTTTAGAAACTATACAAAACGTTTCATACATTTGAAAACTAAACTGTCTGTCCCTCGTTGTGTTGAACTTCACATACCACTACCCTACAGCTTAAAACTGATGTGTTATCTTCGGTATATATGAGTAAAGATTTGTAAAGTATCACATATACATAGGTCTACTGTCTATCATTACAGAATCATCTTTGCAACTAAAACAAACTGTATGTCCACTATACGTTAACTCTGATAATGATTTTGTACCAAAATAAATATATATGTATTCTTACACTTTATATAATATTACAGAAAGCTAAGTGTACATTCACAATATTTGATGGTTTAATAGCATTTGATGGTTGATGGTTTTCTACTTCTAGGTTATTACTTTCTGTTTTTGATCTAGAAATCACATATTTGTCGTTTAATTATAACCTACTTGATGGTTTAATAGCATTTGATGGTTGATGGTTTTCTACTTCTAGGTTATTACTTTCTGTTTTTGATCTAGAAATCACATATTTGTCGTTTAATTATAACACACTGTCACTGTTTACTTTTATTTCTTCGAACTGGTGTGTTTTTTGTCAAACTCTGCTCTATCTCTACATTGCAAAAACACTGTATGTGTGACCACGTGACAGCCATCTAACAAACACTTGTTTTGACGTCAGTTTCCACACTTTATATGTGTGTGACCTTTGTATTTTTTAAAAGTCTGTGTCCAGATTGTATGCGTGTAATTTCCTAATATTTTAAATACTAGAAAAGCTAAATAGTAAGTCGTTCATTAATTAATGGTTATAATACGTATGATTTGTGAAAGCGAAACATTAAATATCCAACAGAACATTGTATAAAAGAAGCTATGAACAGTTTAGAAATCTTTCCATACTTTCACAAGATTTGTGTACGTTTGGAGATGTGTTTACCAGTGATCAATGGTTGTATAGAAAATGGATGGATAAGTAGTAAGTCATTAACTTATTATTTTTAGTTCAGATGTTAAAATATGTAAAATAATGATTTTAACATAATTAAATCTAGACGTTGATGATTTGTTGAAGTACTGTCACAATATATTTGTTAAAATCCTACAGACAGTTGTTAAGATAAGAGGTGGCACATGTGGCGGAAAATTATGGAACTATGACTTCGTCATCATTGACGGTTCTGCCCTCCCCATTTCCCCCTCCTCCCTGACGCAGCCAATCGATTAACTAATAATTTAATACTGAATATTTTAAACAATAAGTTTTAATTATTGTATCATCCTTTATATAACCAGTTCAAGGCTTTTTCAGTTCAAGGTTCCACATGTGGACCAAACTTTGAACAATGATAAGGCCTGGCATGGCCTGGTGGTTAAGGCGTTTGGCTCCTTCGAATCCCCGTCACACCGAACATGCTCGCCCTTTCAGCCGTGGGAGCATTATAATTTGATGGTCAGTCCCACTATTTGTTGGTAAAAAGAGTAGTCCAAGAGTTGGCGGTGTTTGGTATTGACTAGCTTCCTTCCCTCTAGCCTATCGTTGCTAAATTAGGGGCAGATAGCGTAGATAGCCCTGCGCGAAATTCAAAACAAATCAAATAAAAGGAAGATAAATAATCTGACATATTCCAAGTTCCAAAGAAACCTGTTGACAGGGAAGCTAAATACCTTAACTTTTTGAGAGCTTGTAATAACAACTGTAGGTTTGTTTGGTCACATTAACCATATTTA